TATTAATTAATAATTTAATTATTTAATTATTTAATTTAATTAATTTAATTTAATTTAATTTATTTTTAATTTTTAATTAAGAATTTAATTTTAAGAATTTCAATTTCTGTTGCTCCAGTTAACAAGATAATTTTCTTATTTATTATTCTTTATTTTTTCATTAAAAAATTAATTATTTTATAGCGGAATGATTAGGTACCGCAAAAATAGTTATTTTTCCCATTTTTAAGGCAAATTTTCCAATCTTTTTGGCGGACAAGTATATTATTGTGTTATATATTTCAATTATTAGAAAAAAAAGTCAAAACCAGATTGCTGATTATCACCAACCATGTTGTCGTTAAGTCGACATATTCGGGGCGTCGGACTGCAAAAACTTCTCAAGAATTTTGTTGGACAATAAGATACTTACTTTCATTTCAAATCTTATTACCAAACGCTCCCAGAAAAATCAGCTTGCTGGTTGTCACCAACCATAATGTCATCAAATCGACATATTTGGGATGAGGGACAAACTCAAAATACCAACATTTTTGTCGGACAAATTTTTTGGGGGGTTTAAAAAAATATATATCTTTCATTTAAACTTAAAAAAAGTGCTGGTCATAACATTCCATGATTATGCCAGATTGACATGTTTTCCTGAAAATCACGGGAAAACTTAACCACTGTTGAATTTTCCTCATAGTCAAATCTTGAGAGACTTGTCAAACTTAAGCTGCATGCAAAGTTACAGCTTGCTGGTAATCATTTTTTTCTTTGTACATGGGCCTTTGGACTATTAGTACGGAGACGTGACAAAACAACTGTCAAATTTTTAATTTGGGCATCAGCTCTGCTTTGTTTTAACTGCGGTAGTCAAACTACAGTGTAAATCTAATACCCAACAAACGTCCAGTATTTTTTTTCATTTTAATACACATAAAGTATTGGAATGATTGCCTGTGATAGATTGAGACTATGAAGACATCTCTTTTTGATACATTTAACAAATAATGAATTCACGTCCACAACAACTGTCTTTGTTAATATTAGGACACCCTCGTGACGTAATGGCAATCTTAAAACAGTTCTGGTGTAGGTTATTATTTGAACAATTTTTGGGCTAATTAGATTAGTAAAACGGTTCAAGATGTGATTCATTGAACCTGATTCATCTCTCTGAACCGATTCACTGAATTGTCTCAATTGAACGATAATTGGAAAACCAAACAAACTGATGATGAATTGTGTCATTTATTTTTTGGGTTTTTGTATCTTGGATCTCAGTGTTGCCTTTCTTGATTTTTGATTCTCATATTATTGCATCACAATGATTACAAAATTTACTGTTTGGATACTATCATGTTCTGTTTTTGGATAATCATTCATATGAGGTAGCTAGAGCAGTGAGTAATTACTTATTTGTAATAAATATATATTGTTCTGATAATGCTAAGTACTTATTTATTTAAAGCACTGAAATTTCTAAACCTTTATAAGTCTATTAAGCAATGAAAGATATAATTTTACTAAATGAATTAATCACTGATTATGGCTCTGATTCGGAGCCGATAGACGACATACAGAGACGAGAGCCAATGAAACAGTTCACAGTTCTGTGCGATTCAGTTTATTTTGTTCATATGTGAGATCTTGTTCTTTCGAATGGGTCATTCGCAAACGACAGCTCTAGTGAGGATCCAGAGGGCATTGCAATCAACATCCTTAGATCTGACAAATCAGGCATTTATCATTATTATTTATTACATTTATACTTTTATTACCCTATTATAACAATTTAAGTAAAAAAATTGCCTCTGTTTGAAGTATGACTTCTTAGATCTAATGGTGTTACCCCTGGCCGCAGACGGCCTAACTTCTTCTAGAACTGTGGGCAATGTCAACAATTAGATGTACCCTCTTGTCTTGTTTATCTAATAAATGTATGTATATTACCTTTGTATAAAATAGGTTACCATAACTAAAGAATTTAGTGACAATATCATTCTACAGAAGAACTGGATGGATACACATGTATACCACAATATTTTCCTCAGACAAAAAACATCAATCAATTGATTGCATATGTATTTTTCTTTTGTGTAGATTCAATTTCTGAAGAGATGTAGCTTTTATTCTTCTTTTGACATTTTATAATTATTAATGTATGCTTATTTACCTTTTTATAAAATATGGAATACCTTCATGGAAAGAATTTAATCCTAGTTTGTTTATTTTAATAAAGACATATTTACAATTGTTTGTCTGAATTATAAAAAATGCTTTGAGAAAATGTCTTTAACTTTAAGGTCAGAACCAGGCTTGTTTTTTGAAAGATGTTTTTTTCCAATGTTTTAGGAATAGTTAGGACTCAATAAATTAGTGTCATCTATTGTCACCATCCCTGAAATATTATGAAGGTTTTCTATTTCCGATTTCAGAATCTGATAATAACCTTCATAAATGTTGTTCTTCATTACATGTATATTTTTGAAAAAGGATTTTTTTTGTGATTATATAGATTGTTGTTTGGAAAACGTAACATTTTGGAAATCGCTTCAAAAGGTAACAGTAATAATATAAATCGTATTTAATTTAATCTGTTTTAATTATTTTGATTAAAAATTGTGCTTCTACTTGTTTACATCTTTCACCATTATTACTCCAAAAAGGTGTCAATTTATTGAAAGAAATATAATGAATTTGTAGATTATCACTAACATCTATATGTGATTCACTCATGTTAAATTACTGTGAACATAATTGAAATAGTATTAAGTTTATTGTAATTAATTGATTGATATTTTTAATGGGGAACTGTGGTACATATATATACCACCAACCTTATCGAAAGATTTTCAGTTAACTATAGATCAGCTGGTTTCTACCGAGGCTATCCTATATTGACACATCCACAACTCATGATCTTATATTAATATGTACATCTGCCATTTCAAATTTCGACCTTAAATTGCAACAATCCATCTCGATTACAACCAGAGTCCATTCATCTGGCTACAAAATCTCGTGGATATCTCCAGATGATAAATATTCACTATATTAATTAATTCATAGCTATATAAAGACAATTCTGTTTCTTTAAAAAAATGCATTTGTTATATACAGAACATTTACATTTTCCATCCTAGCAACCTCTCCATGTAACTTGATATGATACATATAAATATAATTCTACGAAAGAACTCAGTGGATTCACCTGTGCACTACAGTGGTTTATTAATTAAGGTACTTGCTTTTCCTGTTTTTGAAGTATCGCTAAATGTGTTTTTTGTGCATTTTTATTAAATTAGATCATATGATGACGGTACAATTCTGTTTTTAGAATGTGAATGATGATTTGGTGAATTTATTGATACAAATGCGCTATAAGAAACCTGTAGGTGTGGAAGATCTGGGACAAGAGGATGGCATTATGCCAATCATTGATTACGGTACGAGAGTGTTTGATGAGGACCTCATGGCCACAGTTGACCATGGGCTGTGCCTCAGCATGCATCAACCTTATGCGAGTCTTCTTGTTGCCGGAGTTAAAATGTAAGTACAAAATTCATTACATACTTTAAATTGTATAAAGTTTTTCATTCTTTTTTTATTGTACATTCTTGAAGTAACAGAATCCAGAAAAGATTTATAAATCTTCTTTTCTCATTGAATAAATAGTTTTTTCCATTTCAGTCAAGTTTAATCAGTACTTAGTAACTCATAAAGCGTCAACAATTTGCTTCACCACTTCACCTGTTTATCCTATTCTATTTTGTTCTTTAAAAATGTTTGTGTTTATCTGTATTAACATGTGCTATAAGTCCCCATGACTGTATTAAGTATCTGGATAATTGTCAATCCTATTCTTATGCTGCTTACTTCGACCTAATTTCAATTTACCCGTCATGAGTCTGTGCAACCCACCACTCCAGTATAGTGAAAATTATTGTTTTTGACAAATGAATACTACTTATTTGAATAATTTGATGGATAGATAGCGACTTGGAATATAAGTTACAGATGAATATTTTAATGACCCCAATACGGGTTCTGCCAATTTTTTAAACAGTTGTTCAGACTCGAAGTATTTCTGTATTACTTAAAGATACAACTTACAAAGCATTTCATACTGTCATTAATATCTTTAGTTACAAATACTATATACAGGGTGTATCACGAAGAGGGCCCAGTAGGATTATCCCAAAAAGTAGTCAAAATTGAAATATAAAAATTCGTATACAGGGGTTTATCAGAAAGATCTATTCAATGAAAATATTGTCAACTGTCTCGCACTGTAACATTTTGGCCTTATATGACCTTATATGAAAATAGTCTAGAATTTGCCGTAGTTTCAAGATGGTAACACACCTATAAATAAGTACTATAAGGAAGCTTGAAATTCAGTGTATATTATTTCGCTGAAGTGTAGACTATTTTGTCTTCCATAGTACATGTCGAATTTGAATTTGACGTCAAAAAAAAAGGATTTGCGGCGAATTTTACCGCATTACTTTATTCAAAAGAAATCTGCAGCTGAAGCACACAGAATTCTTGTTGAGAGTTACGGCGACCATGCTCTTTAGGAAACAACATGTAAAGATTGGTTTAGACGCTACAAAAACAATGATTTTGATTTTGAAGATAAAGAATGCCCTGGCACACCAAACAGTTTGAACACGAAGAATTTGAGGTATTACTTCATATTCAGATCTTAGCTGAACTGCAGAATTATTAGGAGTTGATCACACAACAGTTTTGAAATGTTTGAAAGCATTAAGAATGATTCAAAAGCAAGACCATTGGGTGCCGTACGAGTTGAAGCCGAGAGACGTCGAACGACATATTTGCACGTGTGAATAACTGCTTCAACGGCAGAAAAAGAACGGTTTTGTAAATGGCGATGAACAATGGATATGCTACAATAATCCTAAGCATAGAAAATTGTGGGGTATGCCCAACCGTGTGTGATCATTATCGGCAGAGTAGAATATCCATGGTTACAAGCTTCTGCTCTGTATTTTGTGGGATCAACTGGGTGTAGTTTATTACCAGCTGCTGAAATCAAATGAAACCATCACGGGAGATCGCTATCAACTACTATTGATGGGTTTGAGCTGAACATTGAAGGAAAAACGGCCTCTATACGAATAGGGACAGAATAAAGTGATTTTGCAACATAACAATGCTCGGCCACATGTTGCAATGCTCATGAAAATCTATTTGGAAATGCTTAAATGGGACCCCTCTCTCCATATTCAGCAGACATTGCTCCTTCCAATTAACAATTGTTCCGATTGATGGTACATGGCCTGGCGAAGAAGGCCATTCATATGAAGTCGCCAAAAAATCTCTTGGGTAAGCTTAAAAGACGTGTCGTTTTCCGAATATTGGATTAAATTGCTGCCAGAAAATTGGAAAAAGTAGTGGCTAGCGATTGACGATATTTTCAATGACATGTTTTTTACTAATTTTTATGAAAAAACAGCGAGAACTTATTCAACATCCCCTTATATTTTTTATGTGACATTTTGCAGTTGTTGAAAGCACTAAACGTATTTTTTAACTAATGATATTGTGAGAGATGCCTGCCAGCTAGACGCCTTGTTCAGAATTTAATTCTCCTGATGAATGATCTTAGCTATTTACTAGATAATACGGTGTAATTTAGTGCTGGATAGGACATGTAGCTCGCAGAATAGTTGTTTCCCACAATATCATTACTTAAAAAAGGTTATTTCGTCTAATGCGACATTAATCATGTTTTCATAGTACCTTCAGATTAGTAAATCGCTCGATGCTGTACAAAACAATGCAACATTTAAGATAATTTGTCATATTCTTTATAGTCTATATTTCACTTCACTCAAAAATACACGTAAGTATAAAAAATGTTCTTAAAAAAATATTTATTTTAGATGTTTGCAAAAAAAAATTGCATGTCAAATTGTTAATCTAGAATCTGAATATCAAAAACATTGGAAATAAATGTAATTTGTCGAATACCCAATGGTTTTAGGAATTATTTACAAATAGCAATTTGTGAACATATTTAACAGTTTTGGAATGAATAAAGAATAAATAAATATTTAAAGATGAAAACATCTATAAACGTAAGAGAAATGATTTAATTAGTCAATGAATTAATTGACTAATCTACAAAATCCGTTTGATAAAATTTAAACGGTACTTCTTACAAGACCCTTAAAATTAGGTTCAATAATTTTTTGAATTGGAATTGGATGTAAATTTTGTATAATATTCAATGTAAAGATATTTTTGGGAATAAATTTCCTCAATATTTTTCTAAATTCTCAATTTTGACCCCGAACATTTCTTAGTAATGGAATTCCAAATGTAAAGGCATTATATTTTTTTACTTTATAGTAATATTGTCATTTTTTAAAGGCACGAAGGGAGGACGTGGCCAACAACTCATCGGGGACGCCTGTGGATTGCTGCTGCTGCTAAAGCACCAGATGAAGATGAGGTTGATGCCCTGGAAAGTTTCTATAGAGAATACTATCAAGGTATGAAATCTCATTACTTGCAGAATTCTTCATTATCAAATCTTCTAAATAAGATTTTTTTTGTAAAACTTATTTATTTATTTATTTATAAAGGCTAGTGTTACTACATACACACAAAAGTGTTTACACACGTCCAAAAAAAAGAAAGTGGTAAATAACAATACACATAATGATAGCAATCAACTAACTGTTATACAAATATACATAAACAACATATAATTAAAATAAATATGATAAACGACATACTAAGATTAATGATAACATTAATATTCGAGCTACATTACTGTCAATAAAATCTTCAAAACTATAAAAGGCATTTTTTATTAAGTATTTTTTTATCCTTGATTTAAAATTATTTTCATTAAAATTTTGAATTTGGTGAGGTATTATGTTAAAAAATTTGATGGCCCAATAATTAGTACCGACCC